GAACGGTTTAAAATTGATATATCTTTTTTATTTGTCAATGTATAATTAAATAAAATAGACATTAAATGTTAATGCAAGTTTATTTTAATATATTTTTAAAAATGACATTCAAAAAACTACACAATAATTATTGTGGAGTTTAACGTGCACAAACGCACAAACAAAAATCTAAAAGCTGATGTATTGTAAGTACCGGCACGCTATGATGGCCATTTTGACGTTTGTCCGCTCATCAAGTTTCGTATTAGTGATATTCAGCGACAGAGGCATTCACAACTACGTTGAAGGAGCTAATTGATGTACATTGTGGATTAGTGGCTTGCAGTAAAATTTATGGATTTATAATTAATACGACACAACTCGGCATTTGTTGTTCGAATAAAGTTAAATCTAACTCGATGAATCTAATACGATCGTCACTTATGGGATCGCTGGCCAGCACAACTTCTACCTCCGGCAAACTCGCGTCAAAGCTCAATGCAAAACAAAGCAGTTGCAAAGTGACGATATATTATGTAACCATTTTTATTATCGAGTTCTTAGGTTTTCGCGATTGTTACACATAGGAAATGAAACTATTTTTCCGGATTTAAATCGCGTGTATTTGTTTTTTCAAACAAACCGACATTTAAAAAACATCCTAATTTCAACAGGGATGGTTTCTCCGTACCACCAGCTTGGGATCCAGTATTTCCTCTAATGAAAAATCCCAAACAGACTTAAGACTGCAGTACTAATTAATATGTTTTAGTTTATTCTAATTTCTATTATTAATTAATAATAAATTGAACTTAATAAAAATTCATAAAATAAAATAATTTGTAAAACTTAATGTAGCGCAAATTGGAATGTTTCTTTGTAAAATTAAAAATAAAGTATTTATTAATAACTATTGTAACTATAGTGAAAAAAATAGGGTGGTTTGCATCAATTTTAGACATAACTGGTTGAAGACTGTACCATCTCAGTCAACCGTGACCATGGGACCTGTAAAGGGCCAGTAACGTCGGTTTGTTTGAAAAAACAAAATATATGCGATTTAAATCCGGATAAATACTTTCATTTCCTATTTTTATTTTCGGTTTATTAAAAGTTTTTAATCAAACCCTAGCAATACCTACTAGTTATAAATCTAGAAACTTATAGATGCGACTCCCAATTGATTATACTTTTTTTGGACAATGAATTGAGATTTGACCTCACTATTGTAATCTGTCAAAACGGCCATCATAGCGTATCGGTACTACAGGCTTAGTGGCGTGTCTTCAGTAGGTAACACTCACTTTTACTTTAAAATATTAAAGTACAGACTCAGCCCATTTTATGTATTAATTTTTTCAAAGGGTCAAACCCATTACGTATTTTTATTCTCAAGTTATCCAAACTCTCAGCGGGAATATTATTTGCGAACGAAATATATCCCGTACAGAACGCCTAAGTTCACATAGCTATTGTTATACACTCGTAACAGTGTAAGCGGTGAAAATCCGCAACAGACGAGCTATCTACCGTTAACTATGTTGCTAAACGGTCGGGTTAAAAGTCTGAAGGTCACCGGAGTCTGAGAAACTCCCATACTAACACCATTTGTGCCGTTTAAACTTGTTATTGTTTCTATCTGGTCTTACTGCAAGTACTACGTGATTCCTCTGAGAATTAAGTTTTGGTCTAGATTCCAATTGACGGGATCTTTTTTTTATGTGATATTGTTTTCAATAGTAACTTGATTCGGATAAAGGAGTCACCAGACTTGTCGACAAGGAATTGCTTTAAGCCGGCCACAGTAAGCTGTATAACGGAGAGTGAGTCAGATGATTTTTTTCGATCTGGTGCCACCGTCATGTTTCCACCATCGCACAGGAGCCCGTTAAAGGAGCCCGTCCCCATATCCTTGATACCTGGCATGCTAAGACTAGGCAGGCATCACGCTTCTTCCTTCCTCGTACCTGCAAGATAGAATAGTCTCAATCCTGACGTATTTCTTTTGTGCTATGAGATGGGGTTCCTCAAAAAGCGAGTCAACAGAGCTCAGAGAGAATGTACAAACACAGAAAATAGGACTACATTGCAAATAGGATTATATATATAAAAAAATAAAGATAAATCCATACCCAACTCCAAACCCCTTCCTGTGTTATCTAGAAATTAAGGAAAAAATAAGAACAAAGGATAGGCAAAAGTAGATGGGTTCAAGCCCCGCTACAGAAATATAGAATGAATGTGGATGGACAAAAGAAAGATAAAGTATGCAGCATGAAAGTACGAGAAGCAAGTAAAGCGAGAACTGGTATGAAAGGAAAATTAGGTAATAAGTCTCCTTTTACGAAGGAGGATAAAGAGAATAAAAAAAAACAGAGCTCTCAAAAGTTGACAACGCAAAGGCAGTTTCTGTTATATTGCAAACGTCTAAGGGCGACAATGACCACCTCCCTTTCCAGTGGCTCATCGTATGCCGCTTATTTTACATAAAAATGAGCGAAAAAGGGAGGAAAAGAAAGACGCGACTTATTTTTCGCCCTTATTACATAAATATAGGTATAGCTTTTTCTGGCTAAACATTCAATATAGGTATGTAGTTGTGACTAATCGGTACAGTAAACAGCACATTGAGCCTCATACTTTGGACCGTTTTTATCGCAAACAACATAGAGTTCAATTTAAATCTTTAGTGTCAAATTTATTTATTTATTTATTTATTACATATTGCTTACAGTCAACCCAAACGCAATAGTAAGACTTAAAGCTAAATGTACAATCAATCTTAAGTCAATTACAAAAGTGAATAAAATATGAAAATTGATAAAATTATAAATACAATACCATAAACAATAAATTATTACAGATTAACATTAATGACAAAAAACGATAAAATCCATTTGTTATTACATTTTAAACTAACACTTAATACTGCTGTCTCCGGTCAAGGACTCCAGATAGCGTCCTGCGGAAAATATGAATTTTGTTTCTGAGCATGCAAAAAGGTCCAATGAGGAGTCGAAGTTAAGCAACTGATTTAGATACCTAAGTGCTCGGGGCAGGGTCGAACTTGATGTGCTAGTAACCCTGTACTACTCATGAGCTTTGACAATTGCAATTATAATTGTAGACGACTTTCGACAAGGAGCCCCAATAAGCTGGTCAGAAAAATATTTATCACTATGAAATTTTCGCTCTTATTTGGACATTACAACTTTTTGTGACCAGCTCAAGCCGCGTTATTAAATATGGTAACTCCTTAATGCATTTTGAGTAATAGCTGAGAAATGCAACATTGTATAATTATTTTCCACCTCTTAATTGAAAAGTCATATTACAAAATTGAAGACTACGTGTTAAATAATGATCTATGGAAAGACGACATGGCTCCAGATTCCACACAAATTTGATTCAAAGTGTATTTAAGTTTATTTGAAAAGAGCAATCACCAGAGTTTCTTGATCTTTCTTCTCAGAAAAGTCAGCTTAGTGAAAGAGCAGTAGCAGTAGCTTAAAAAGCTGACATTTTCAAGTGTAAATTTATTTAACCTATGGTTCATTGAGTTTGGTACAACGAGACACAAGCAAGCGTGACAAAAAGAAATATTTTAGAGTATTTTGTGTCCACACGGAAAATCGATATTTCGACCTTAAATAATATGGCTTCAACTTGTTTCTTAATTGATAATGAAAGCAGAAGATACCGATAGTGAACTATATGGTCCGAAACACGATTGACGAAAGACAAAAGAAACAAAAGGACAAAAGAAATCATACATTTTCATTTTTTACTACGTTTGTTTATGGAAAATTCAATTTTATTCAATTGTTATTAGAGATATTTCAATAAAATTTTCTTTCCCGTGTTCCGTAATAAATACGTCATAGTACTATGAGCCTATTTTACAATAAGAGAGTATATTTTGTTTCTAATAGCCAAATGTTTAAATATTGTACAATGAACTTCGTCACGTTTACCTCACACGCTACAAAGCCTACGCAATCACTATACCATTTCGCCTTTACGAGTGCCACTTTGAGTTTTACTTTGCAACAGTATTTCATTCACAATTACAATGTTTGGTGACAGGATAATAACTATAGTAAAATTACCTTGGTGGTTTTCCTGTAACCAAACTTGAACAACGCCATTTAATTTATTTCACAAAGAAAAGAGATTACAAGGAGGCACCTCTCAAATCTACAAAGTACCTCTATTATCAGTTATATGTAAACAAACCATCACTTTCCATAAAGAAAAACAAGTGCGACAAGGACAAAGAATCATTATCGAATAGTGTAAAGTGTAGATAGAACGAGATGCCCGATACATTGTCGCTGGCGACTGGAGTCAGCTTGGGTCTGCTGGCAGGAATCGTGTCTGGAGTTTGCTATCTTTTTGCCAATGGACTGGTAAAGAAAAAGTAAGTACCTATTTTATTTTATTTTTTCAAATTTTATTTAGGGGCTTTCATCATTATTGAACATGTCAGCCCCATTAGAAGAAAAATACATCAAGAAAACTCTTAATAGAATCCAAACAGATAAATCAAATTTCTACATATACATATTGTATACAAAATCTTCATTGGCTCCGACAAAATGGATTGAAACCCAACGTTAAATATACGAAAACCACCTATGTAAATTACCGTGCCCTGATAGGTTCCGTCCGAATTTAAAAAAAAATTAAAAAGAAATTAAAAAAGCATATATTTAAAAAAGAATCAAAATAAACTGACTGTTCAAATTCAAATTCAAATTCAAAATAATCTTTATTCATAGGTAAGCATTATTACACTTGAAATCGTCACAATAGTTAAACTCTACCGCTCATTCGTAAGGCAGATTCCCCTGAGAAGAATGAGCAAGAAACTCTAGGGGTTGCTCTTTGTAAATAACATTTACAATATTTTATTATTTTTTTATTTGAAACATCAGAGATCGAGACTACCTCCATGAGCTAAACGGGTTACTACCACGGATTTTTGTGATCCAAGTACGCAGAAGTTGTACGAGTATAATAACCTTTAGTATAAAGTTTTTGTTTCACTATAGTTTTAAACCTCGTGAAAGGCAAATTTTGTATATCAACCGGAATCTTGTTATAGAAGCGTATACATTGGCCCCTTAATTATTATTATTATTTAATGTAGATAAATAAAGCTCTTATTATTATTATTATTATTATTATTATTATTATTATTATTATTATTATTATTAAATGATTTTTTGACTTTCAAGACTTTCAAGACGACTATCAAGAAAAGCTAGTTTATTTTTATTTCTCGTATTAATGTTATGTCTGTCACTATTTTTCATAAAGAAATTACTATTCCTTTTAACAATAATTACATTTTCATAAATTTTCTATATAATTCTTTTAATTTCGGTTTCCATCCTCCAATTTAATCTTAGGACTTTTGTTCTGAGAACATGCCAGCCCTATCATAACCTTATTCTAAATTGTCATACAATTTACAGTAAAAATTAATTGTAATATTATTATTACATTAAAAAAAATTATTATTATTACACATTTCTGTGTATTTTGACAAGGGTTCAGATAGAATCCCTTGGAAGAAGTTGATGTTGCAGCGGTTGAATTGTAATAGAAACATCAGTAGTTGTCTGGCCTTCGTTCTTGGTACATTCCGCCAACAAGTGTTAGACGTCTTCAATTTTATTACCAACTTAACAATTTGGTGAATTCATTTTTTTCATAAGATATCCAAACCTGTTCGACGGATGACTGCTCTTGTCCGTGTGTAGTGTTCACAATGTCATAATAAATTCATTTAAGAGCATTGACTTACAAATAAATGGACGACGGGTCTAATACAAAAACCACGAAGAAAATGTCCCAAGTCAACCTATTCGAAATTTTAATTGTAATGTCATCGCAGTATCGCGCTGTCAGTCGAACAAATGAAGACTAAATCGGAGTTTGGCGCTCTGTATACGATTTTAGTTCCTTACAAGTGCGGACACTTTTTAGCGCGGACCCGACGTCCATATAATTGTAAGTCAATGTTTAAGAGGCACTATTTCTATAATATTGGCATTTTGAGAATCTGACATTCTGCGAATCTTACACGCTACCCGTTTGGCATTTTGCGTTTCTGGCATAAAGCGTCAAAATGGTTAAATATGATATTATATATAGGAAATATATTAATATACACATAATAATTTAATTGTATATTATTATATACAAAATTTAAAACCACCGTTGAACAAAAACATAAAAAAGGTTATAAAACAGCTTCTGCGTGCTTACATTTTACTGCTTCCGTGGCCGAACGGTTACCATGCTGATCTGACACGCTTCGCGGCTTCGATTCCCGGACCGGGAGAAATATTTCTATGGCCTACATTTATATCCCTCGCGAGTTTAGATGTAATTTCTGTCCATTGTCCAGATCCATTCAGCTCTTTTAAATTATTTCGATATAATATTTGAAATAAAATTTTATCAAAAAAAATAATAGACTACCTGGGAAACCTAAGGGTTGGCAGCTTACCTTGCCCAATGCATAATCAAAGCTATACAAAGGGGGAACGCTCACAATCTTGAGCACTTTGCCGCGGGGATTCAATTTTATTCATCTAAATTAATCCTAGATTTAGTTTCTAGTATTTGAGCTTTTATTGCTTTTTTATGGGTCATTGTTATTATAAAAAATAACCTATAAAATAAAGATATCTGGTTTGAATAATGGATCTCTTGTTTTCATTAAGTATCGCGAATGCTTTTAAAAACTGTAATATATTAAGTTATTGAAACCGTTGTTATTTTGTTTAATTTCACGTTTCATAATAATACCATAGAACTGAGAAAGGTAATGCATACTTCTAACAAAGTTTTCTCTTGATAACATTTTTCCTAGAAAGAAAATAGCGGGACACCCCAACGCTGCATCGTAGCGACATCTAGGTGAAAACTGTGTAACTACGTAGTCGGCACTACTTTCACTGCGGCAACTTAATTGTTGATGTAAATGATCTGAAGATGGCAGCACCAGTAATTACTTGGAAAAATAATTTCAATACTAAAACATACTTTAGTTCTATTGACGAGGTCGGTCCCATAAAACAATATTGTACAAGTCACAGTTAAATTTTGTAATTTGTTGACTTCACAGTTTCGTCAATGCCGTGTTTTGTGTTGTACTACAAATGAAATGGCAAAAAAATAAAACTACTTAGACATCGAATTGGAACGAAAATCAATTACGCATTTAGCATACCATATAAGAGCCCCCATTGTGCGAGATATTATCTTTATTACAATAAATATAGAATATTTTTGGAATATACGAAGACGTACACACAGGTCAGTTATTGGCGCTGTACTATTTCAGTTTTCTAATTTGTGATTTCAGCGCAAACGAGAGTTGATATTTAAAAGTGATATTTGCCTGACAAGTTGCCAGGGATGGACGGCCCTTATTTCGCCTCTATTTCTGGTTATATACTCGACGCCTGGTGTTAAGCGACACGCCTGTCCATAACAGTTTCAGTGTCTCTCAGAGAATTTTAAATCGTAAAGATCTAAGGGACACTACCACTGCCCCGATCCTAAGACATAAGTTGGTAAGTTCCATGTGCCCGTAATTTCACCACACCGGAACGCAACAATACTGCTTGACGGCAGAAAAAAAAAAGATTAGTAGCTCGCTAGGACCTATTACAAAATTTGCACATCTATAAGTTGTTAACTTAGTTTTCAACTTGGCTTGTTACACAGGACAAGAATTACACTTGCATAAAAATGTTTAAAAGCTGCAATGTATTTGTACTAAATACCTAAAACCGATTTCACTTTCTATTCCAATCATTATTAAGGTAAACACATACCTGGGCAACAACACGCAATTAAATTTCGGCAGTGGTGATACGTATCGGCCCACATTGTTATGACGTTTCATCACATCCGCGTCAGTTTCGTTGATTCGGTGCGCACGCGCTTGCCGTGGGACACCAACCGTGACTTAAGTTCGCGTATTTAGACTAACCTGTAGTTACTGCATTAACAAAAACTTTATTATTGTACTCGTCCAGTGATTATGACGCATTCAACAGTGTCGACACATCGGGCACCACAACGTAAACGTTACATCGTAAAAAAACACGTATACATATGCACCCTTGGTTATAATAAATTGTGATCAAACGTCCAAAGTGTCTTTGTCACATGAAGTAATACGAAATACATGAAACAAATAATGTATTATGCATTGACTTACAATTATATGGACGTCGGGTCCGCGCTAAAAAGTGTCCGAACTTATAGGGCGTTAAAATCGTATACAGAGCGTCATTCACGCTTTAGTCTTCGTTTGTTCGACTGACAGCGAAGCAAGCAAAATTAGACAGTACTGCGATGACATTACAATTTAAATTCAACGTTTTAGCTTTTTCATATTCCTTTACATGTCACTACGTTTAAATAGGTTGACTTGGGACATTTTTTTCGTGGTTTTTGTATTAGACCCGTCGTCCATTTATTTGTAAGTCAATGGTATTATGTGAAATTTTACAGCTCTCTTCCATTTTTTAAGTTTTTTATTTTTATAAATAATAGACACACGCTTGGCAAAGCAGCCCAAAATCTCACCTGATGTTAAGCAACGATGTGACCAACAATGATAATGACCTAAAAAATGCCTATGTAGCCTTCCATAGCCCCAAATTGTACGTTTCGGGAAACACACCGATAGAGTATTCAATTCCCTTGCAAAGCGCTTAGTGCGAATGGGTGGTTATCAACGAGATAAGGATGGAGTGTTCCGAACCTTCTAGTCGACCGAAGGAGGAACGGTGAGGGTGGAACTAAATTAAAATTTCCTGCGCACACTCCCCGAAATGTAGGTATCTGATAGAAAACCGACAACCAGGTTATTATTGTGTACAAGTCTTAAAGTTAATAGACTTACCCTTTACCTAGCCCTGGAGCAAAAATAAGGTCAACAATAAACTCGCCCAGAAGATTCAGTCGTACCTTACCCGAGTAGGGTTGTACGTGGTCGGAAACACAGTTACAGGCAGGCAATTTCACTCCTGGGTTGTGCGCATGATAAAACATGACAAAAAGCGCTTAGTACGCTCGAAAAGAATATCGATCAATTAAGCAGAGTCAGGGGCGGATTGACCCTAAGGCCCAATAGGCCCGGGCCTAGGGCGGCCAGATTTTAGGGGCGGCCAATCGTGACAAAAAATTCACTGATGATGACAAGAAATAACACAAAAGTACCTAAATATTCTGAAGGTTGACATTATGGCGGGCCGCATCGCATCGCATCGTAAAACAATAATTTTCCTAAATCACTTTCGTACATTTTACGTATAAAATATAGATAAGTTACGTATCTACAATGTAATGTATAATCAGAACATGACTTCGTCTGTCTGTCTGATCGCG